AAATCTAAATACACCTGCCTGCTTTAGATATTATTGTATTGTATGAGAAATCAATTAAAATGTATTGTCATGCTTAATCAGATTTTGTTATTTTTGATGTCATCTGCATAAAAAAAGTTCTGAATGCAATAGAATAATGGTAGGGGTATTTAGACTTCAGAATGTCACTATTTCAATTTCAAGTGATCGCAATTTCAAACGTTAAATTTAATTTCATGAGTTCACAATTTCACAAAACTTATGCTTACAGCAGAAATTTAAGCTTTAACTTCACAAATTAGACTTCACGAATACACAATAACAATTTCACGGAGCCTTGGTTATGAATTCATGGGGTTTGAATCGAAAATTGATAAACTTAAAACCGTGAATTCATGAAGTTGAAATTGCGAATTCATTAAAATAAATCGTGAAAATGTGGTAAGCGAATTCACGAGGCTAATATTATGTAAACGTTATTTTGAAGGTGAAATCATGAATGATGACAGTGTAATCGTGACTTGCTAAAAGTTAAAATACCAATTAAAATCCAATATGCTGAAATTGCAACACCCAGTGTCAATATGTCGAAATAATTTTCTTGCTAGGTGTGGAATTTGAGTGTAGTTTTTACTTTATCAGTGCTGACCTTCAATAGTAATTTAAACTGTTTGTTGGTTGAATAATGATATATTTATTAGAAATTATCAACTCATTACTCGTAGCATCTGAATGATTAACGAACTTTAAAACGCTATGAAGCGTATTCGTTGGGATAAATATTATAATGACCTATGACAACAAACATTTTGCAAAAAGTGACAAACCAATTAAGCTACACAAGACATTGCAACAGAGTTACCATCGTCCTACGCCTAGAGGAAGTTTTTCATGATGCACACGATCGTGCTATTCCAACAGACTGAGACATAGATCTGGACATTCAGTGCACAATATTGATCAATGCTACATCTGCACAAGCAACAATAATTTAATATAAGAAATAGAATGAAATAACTCTTGTGTATGTGTCAATAGAAATACATTTGTACAGTTATCATCACCATTTCAAACCACAAAATGTGACAAATACAAAATCAATACGGATATGGTTTTTACCGGGAATACTTTGTGTCAGGCCCGTAATTTTTTATCGATCAAGGTATTTCGGCGGTCTCACTGATGACATTTTATTTGCTTGGTCCTGAAGTTGCATCATACCCTGTAACAGACCATTTTTTGCTTTGACCTCCGGTTTTTGCGCATGACAAATCGTCTTCTTATTGCAAATATATGTGCCTAGTGATTTTGAAATCCCTTGATCTTTGAAATATAATGGACCGGAAACTAAATATACTTTTAACAGTCAATGTTAAGCTTTGACGCCCAAGTGTGACCTTGACATGGGATGTAAGCGTCAGGCTCTGTGCATGATACATTGTTTTATTAGTGTGAGCATTTTTGTCACGTATTTCTAAAATTCCTTGATGGATGAGAAAGTTATTGCCCGAACACGACAAATACCCTCTAACAGACAATAGTGACCTTCAATAACCATTTGTGACCTTGACCTTTGAGGAAGGGTCTGGGTGTTGCATTTATAGTAACAAACATTGTGCCAAGTTTCAAATTACTTCGATGAATGTCTTAGTTATTGACTTGACACGATATCCTCCTTTATCATTTGAAAAGGTGGGGGACAAACATGATTCATAATATTGTTTTCTGTTGTACAGCAATTGTACAACACAAAAATTTTCAGTTTTAAATTTTGCACATAAATGATTTTATAAAATAATGTTAAGGATAGACCTTACACATTAATGTTTATTTTTCTTATTAATATGTAATGTTTACAAGGAATTGAAAGAAAAATCTTAGTAAAGCATGATATTAGATGTCTAAGGAGAAAAGTGCATTTAAGTCAACTCAACTGGAAGATCGTAAAGCAAATAATATATTTAAAGGTAAGTAAACGATATCAAATATAGATTTTATTTTCGAAACGACAACACAAAAACAATACAACAACAACCCGTAAAAGTCATATTTATCATCCAAATTAAAAGCAATCTTGTTTTCTTGAGTCAATGACCAATAAGCAGAAGCAAGTTGTAAAACTGCCTTTGATCATTTCAAAATTACGCTGGTATCGTAAAGGACCCCATTTCAATTATAATTATTTATTGTCTTTAATCTCCTTCATGCATATTGATGAAGTGCACAAATGGAATTATGTTTATTGCTAATTAAATTTCAAAATATTTTTGTTTAAAATATGTGAGAGCATTACTTAAAAGGGTATATGATGGTCATGATTTGAAGAACTCAGATGGCCACCAAATTTGCAAATCATATATATCATCCAAATCAAAACTAATCTTGATTTACAGATTAATATTCTATGATCCATAAGCAGTTAGATTCAGGTTTAAGTTGTGAAATTTAATATTTGTCACTGCTTTTAATAATCAGTAGGAGTATGTGTTTGTGTGTGTGGGGGGGGGAGGGTTACTTAGATGCTGCTTTTTCCCCATATATTGTATCTAATACTATCTATTTTCATCAATAAATAAAGTTTTAATGACAGTCAGTTACATGTTGAATTACAATTTACTACTTGATGCATATATTTTGTATTTATAATGAGGTTCAGCAATGATTAATTTTAGGCCACGTTCAGTTATACTCTTTCGTGATTTAAGGACAGTCTTACAAAATATGTCTTTAGTATTTCTGTAATAATGTCTTAGTTTAATATATAAAATTATACAATATAAACAATGTAATTCAAGTGCAAACATTGCGTCTGCATTCAGATAAGATAACATGGATCTTGGGAGCACACTGTTCCATGCTCGCATAATTGACCTTTTGATAGATCATAAATATTAAATGAAGATAGACTTTGTTACCGACAGAAATCAATTTTATAGGCTACTTTTTTATACTGAGACAATTAAGCATTTTAAACTTGTTTTCATAAAAGAAAATATTGTAATTATAATCATTTAATGAATTTTTGCTCTTTTAAGCATGTTAATGAATTACACAAAAAGAATAACGTCAATTGTTAATTGAATATGAAAATCATTTTCATTTAAATGAGTTAGAGCATATCTTTATATGGTATATCATGGTCGTGATTTGTAGCTACAATTATCTCACTTCTGGTTATCAGAGTGTCCGTTAATCTCTACTTTGGCCTTTAAAAACATATATCACTTTGGAGTAAAATAACCAGGTCCCTTTGCACTTAAGCAGATTTCAACTTATAACATGAAATGGCAAAGTGTTGAATTGAAAAAATTCTCAAACGGCGGTTTTCATTTAGTTTTCAATGAGACACGATCATGCCATTCCAGGAAAAGTGAAAATAAAATAAATATTGAAAATAATTCTCAAAATGCTTGTGCCCGAAAAAAATCAAAAGAAAAACATTAGGACGATAAGCCTTAAAAAGTTTTGTATGGGGATCAGAATTTGCGAAGTCTGAATATCACAGATAAGCTGTGAACAATGGAAAGATTAATGTTATGTGAGGCAATTTATATTTACTTATACACTTTTGCATTTAACTGACAAGCTTTAAAACATAATTGTAAATACGATTGTTTAAGATAAACAATACGGGCAAAAATAAGATTCAAGATTGATAGATGATAAATATCAAGTTTGTATGCGCTTCGAAGGGGGAAAATATGTATGATAACTTGGAAAAAAGTCAGTAATAATCAGTGAAAAGCATTACTGGTCGGGGACCATCAACCGGACCCTTTTTGAACATTTTCCATACATATTTTATAATTTAAAGCTAGAGATATGAAAATTTGACACATTACAGCTAGGTTCTTCTTCTAATTAACAAACTAGTTTATTTATTTATGAATATATTGACACTTATATCTATGGCCCATCAAGGAGGGCATCAAATTTTACCTAAATTGTCCACACTACAGTACCATGTGTCCGGACAGATATGTAATGGCACTAATTTAATTTAGATAAAAAGCTTGGGTGTTTTATTTTTAACGTGGTATTCAATATTTTAGCAGGAAATACTGAAGTTTTTGATGTTCTATTGTTTACTCTGCAAATGATTAAAGCTAGTAGTATTGCTCTCTTGATGTCCAAATTTTCAGCGTCAACGTTCTTGAAACAGGCATGAAAATATTACTGTTTACATAAGTTCAAATAAATCTAATTACTTAATTATAGAATAAATATACTAGTACATTTATTGTCTTAAAAGTGATTGATAGATTGACAACAATTCAACAAAGAAAAAAAATTAAATCAGACATTTTCTGCTTCGTCCGAGTTTGGTGACTGTTCGGTTTTGGTGGTCCCCAACCAATTAGCCATTAGAGTATCAACGACAAATAAAAACAAAATGATGAAAAATGACAGCCAGTAAGGTATAAAAGAGAATGTTCAGTGAAGAACATGAGCCATTATAATATCAATGAGAAATTAGAACAACATGATGAAAAATGTCAGCCAGTAAGGTATAAAAGAGAATGTTCAGTGAAGAACATGAGCCATTATAATATCAATGAGAAATTAGAACAACATGATGAAAAATGTCAGCCAGTAAGGTATAAAAGAGAATGTTCAGTGAAGAACATGAGCCATTATAATATCAATGAGAAATTAGAACAACATGATGAAAATATCAGCCAGTAAGGTATAAAAGAGAATGTTCAGAGAAGAAAATGAGCCATCATAATATCAATGAGAAATTAGAACAACATGACATTTTACGGCAACGTATAGAACAATGAGAAGCTGTTTAAAACACATTATTAAAAATAATAAACGTTATTAAAAACGATCATATGTTATTTCTTAAAACAGATTATATATAAAATTTTATAAAATATTGTTTAAACAAAAGTGTTAATCAAGACAAAACATGCCGTGTTACTCAAGCATAAAAAGGAAAAGAAAAAGAGAGTGTTTGATTATAAAAACTATAAGCTTTTAAACAACGTGTACTTTATCTGAACAACAAGATGCCGAATTAGAACAACGATTTATTAGAATTATTTATATAACAAATATAAGTTCTTTGAACAAATATGTTACTACATCATCAAATTGTTATACCAACATGGTGTTGTTACACTACAATGCATATCACGTGACATGTTTTAAGTCATATAGAATTATACGAATCTCCCTTTCTCTGGAATTTACTTACAATAAACACACCGCCAGACTGAAATAAAGAGAACAATGTACTGGTTACATTTCAAATCATACATAACAACTATTATTCGGTTTGATTAATCTATACAGAATAGGATTTCTAAATCAATAAAGACTCGGTTTGACATAATCTAGATACAGTCGGTTTGAATGATTCTATATTCAGGTCCGGTTTGACTCAATCTATATAGCTTTAGTTTGGCTAAATCAATAAAGATCCTTTCATATTGTCACAGGTTATTGTCACAGGTTACTGTACATTAAGGTTCTCATTGACCGCCGTACAGTGACCTACTTTTAACTCAAAATTCATATCTTTGGCTAATACTCCGTGGAAATTGCATGGAGGTAAATTATCACCACTTTGTGCTTCAAAATTAACTCTTTAAGGGCATGACTGGTGACATGTCCGGGCTCCGTACTCGACAGCGAAAGCTGCATTTTGTGCCCGAAAGGGCGGATGAACCCTCATTAAGCATAGACTACTACACACATTCAATAAAGACTCGGTTTGACTTAATCTGTATAAACCCGGCTTGACTAAATCTGTACACACTTGGTTTGAATGCTTCTTTTCAGACTCGGTTTGACTAATTTTTTACAGAATCGAATACAGACTCGGTTTTTCTAGATATCTATTGATAAGTCATTATGGTAAATGTTACACAGTTAAAACCCTCAGCACAGGCTTTGGCAATCATCAATCACTGGATGACGTCATGAACTAGTATGCTATGATATTTATTGCTGCCGCTTAGTTACTTAGAACTGGCTTTTCTTGAAAGCCAAAAGAGAGTCAAAATAGCCAGCTTATCTTGTGTAATTGTAAGACATAGCATATTAAAAACAACATGGATGTGAAATTTCAACAAACTTACATAGAATGAGACTTAAAGGTACACGAACCTAAATTAAGCTTGCACTAGAATGGTCATAGATAAAACATATAATGTAAATATTTTACAGTACCTTAACTAGAACTGGTAAACTTTTCCAAAATATGATATTTGGCACAATTTCTGCTCCCTCTTTCTTTTTAACGAATTTCATAAATACCACACCAACCACAAAATACAGAAATAAGACTGACACTGCCCTGAATAATACAAAAAACACAACACACTGAAGCATATCAAGATTTCAAAATTCAAGATTTTATTATTAAGTCAGGATCACGCCCAAGTTCAAAGTTCTTTATAGTGTCAAATTCGCGCCGATTCGGGGGAGGGGGCATATATTTTAAATATAGAAAAACACTCTACATACTACTTTTTCAGTCTAAATATTCTGGAAACAAATGAGAAAGGTTGTTTTGATGATATCTAGAGCAATTTCATATTAGGTCACTCGGCTCAAATACGTAAAAACCTCATTAACACTTTAGAGGCTACTGTTTTGGTCCAGATAATCTGGAAAAGAGTAAGATAGGTTGTTAAGATATTCTCTAGCTCAAGTTTGAATATGAATCATCTGTGGGCAAAAACAAGGGTACGCAGCCCAAATTTGGAAGAACCTTGCTAACACTGTTCAGTATATTGTTTAGGTCCAAATATCCTGGAAATCAGTCAGAAAGGTTGTTTAGATGGTTTCTAGGTCATGTATAAATATTGGTCATCTGGGGTCAAAAACTGAGTCACATAACCCAGATTATAAAAAAATTATTGTATACATTCTGGGCATACTATTTTCATCAGAAAGTTTGTTTTGATGATATCTAACTCAGCTTTGAACATGGGTAATCCATGGTCAAAATCGAGCTTACAAAGACCAAAAATGGAAAAAATCTGTTTTCACTCTAGAGGTTGCATTTTAGCCCAAATTTCCTGCACATTGGTCAGAAAGGTTGTTTGAATAAGGGTCATCTGTGGTAAAAAAAAAGGTTACAGCACATAAAAAGGCAGATATGAAACAAATCTTATTAACATTTGCACTATTTCAGATGCAGATATGAATGTTATGATATCAGTTTAAGTTTATTGCATTATATCTGCCGTTCATTCATTGCTAACAATAATAATTCAGAGCCTCAATGATCAGGTGAGCGATATAAGGGCCTTGATATAAGGGCTATCATGGCCCTCTTGTTTGTTCTCATCGTTGTTTTTTTTAAACCTTTTCTTCTCTAACTGTATCAAATAAAATTTATTGTTATCCACAGTCCTACCACAACTTATGTATTAATAAATGAGAATGTTAGCTCATGGTTAGGATCTTTGTTTCAAATAAAAAAGCCGGAGCAGATTATTGTAAGAATCAGCCTCTGAGTGATATACAAGAACTGTTCCAAATATATACATGTGTGTTCACATGACAACCGATACAATTTGAAAAAAAGTTTTACTATACGTGTATGTAAACTAACTGACAAATAGGGCGGGACCAATTTTGCCCCAAGGGCATGATCTATAGAACTTTTGTAGAGGTTAACTTGACAATGCCACATTCAAATATCTAAGCTGTGGTCATTTGTGTTTCAGAAAAAAGGCTTAAATGTATTTTCGTATATAAGCCGATGTAAAATAAGTGACGCCTAGGGAATATAAACCGATTCAATTTGAAAGCACATTAACAATACCATGTCAGAGTGGAGTCCAGACATAGATCCCTGACCTGTCTAATTCTAATTATCAGAGTAGTGGGTTTCAATAAGAATTTCACCACAACATATTTCTTAACAAAAGAGCACATATCAATGTTTGTGGTTAAATCTATTGTTATTCAAGTAAAAGATCAGAGCAGGAATCCATTAAATCAGTAAATCAGAGCTAAATTAAAAACCATTATGAGCAATCGAGATTGTTAAACATGATCTATTGCGTTGTAAATCTTATAAAAAATCAAAATCTATTTAGTATTAAAAAAAAACATGGATTCATTCAGCGTTTCTCCCATAAAATTTCCCATTAATTTTATATCATTCGATGTCATGCCATATAGACTTTAACTAGCATTATCCTGACTCCTGTTGTTGCCAATGCGATCTTGGGAGGCAGTACACAGTTTCGGCCGTTTAGTTTCGAATTGGCCAGGGTCAAATTTACAAATAAGAGACAGTTTTGAAATTGAAGTGAATATTTGAGGTTCTAAATGTTTATAGTTACTATATTTCAAGTTTCAATGACTAGTATTGTGTTTCAGTTATTTAGTAAAATTGAATTTAGTGGTGTTGACCCTTAAATTGGTTTTTGAGAGAGTACCTGTCGGATGCGAACGTGTGGTTTTTGTAGCTAGCCGGTAAATCAGCTCTTCAATTTAAAGGGTATGCAGAAGACTTAGAACAGTGAAAAAAGTAGGTGCATGACTCCCCGTTTTGGATGTTATTTTCAGATTGTGCATTGTTTAAGAAGGAAGAATCACCATAGCTTGTGATTTAATCTTTTGACGTTAATATATTTTGGTTATTATGCGAATAGGGGTAATCCACTCTTTTTGTCGTTGATTTTCGCGACCAAAACAATGGAAAACACAGGGCTATGTGCCAGAAAACTAGAAGGTGGACATGTATTTTTAATTGTTTGCTGTGAGATACATATGTATATGATAAATATGAAATGCATTTATTTCAGGTGTGTGATTACAGACTTGTGTGTGAGGTTTTGATTGTGGCACAGTCAGTTGTTTGACGAGAAGCCTTGAAAACTGTGTATTGCCCCCTTGGAACAGCCGGTGTCGCGTAATAATCACACGGGCGTAATTTTACCAAGGTTTACACAGGTTTTTCAAAACTTGCCTGTAACTTTGTTTATAAACTAAGCGCTGTGAAAATTGGTATAAATTTTCAGCATAGAACAATTATTTCGGTGCATGTATTTGAATATTCTGATAGTATTTTTTTTTCCAGAATATATGCGTGAAACTGAGCTAAATCGCCAAATTTTGCATCTTTCGTAGGTCATTTTGAAAGAACCTGCAAGGTTCTAAAAGTATTTAATTCATGAAAATAAATTGGATCATTCTGATTTTTATGAAATAAAATTTAATGAGTGTTAACTTACAAGATGCAAAGGATTGTTCCAACAGAAATCCCGCTTGAGCAGTTTTTTGGACCGGAAGCACTGCAGCCATTTGGACATGCGCAGACTGATGTAAGCGTCATTTGCTAAAAGAGATAACATGGAAGATGTTCGGATTTTGAAATTGTCTTCAAAAGCTCATCCAATAGGGCGATTACAATTACAAAGGTGGATTTTTTCGTAAATATCATCAATACTTCCTGTGAAATCTAAAAGTGGAAATGATACCTGTCACATAAGATGCATTCTTGTCTGTTTGTATTTTTGTTTCGTTTTACGGCCCATAGACACAATTTAGGTCATATGGCACCGAAACAGGAAATATGATTTTGACTAACCTAGTGTGTTACAAACTTAAAGCAGCACCAGGGGACAGATTGATGGTGACACCAAAAGTATTTTACATCAATTTGTTACAATCCAGATTCTGTATGATTTTGCATGTAAGATTATATGATAATGAAAGTAACCCAAAAGGTAAAATACAAGCATGTATTGTACTTAAACTGTTTACAAACACACAATTAAGGTGAATTCTTACAAAAAAGCCCGCGTTCTGCTGACCGTCTGCCGATATTTCCGGATCACATGCACTTTGGTCACACTTTAAAATAATCTCAGAAAGTCTGTAAAATAAATAAATAAATAAATAAATAACTGAGTAAATGAATGAATAAATGAATGAATGAATGAATGAATGAATGAATGAATGAATGAATGAACGAACGAACGAACGAACGAACGAACAAGCAAACAAAAAACAAATAAATAAATAAATTATTTATAAATAAATGTTTCTATCTAAAGGCCCATTTTGTTTTTCTTTTTTCTCTCAAAAGTTTGATTTATTTGGTGTATGCCTAAATATAGAGTCCAATTAAGCTAAAATCTGGCCAGTTTGCTTCTGTTGATTTTTGGCAATTAGTGCAGTTACATTGATTTAGTTTTCTGTATGGAAGTCATAATATTACATTTGTTTACATTTTACTACTTTCTTGATGAATAAATATTTTCGTCAGATGGTACGCGTCTAAAATGCTCTAACTCCATTGTTTAAACTTTATAATACTTATGTTTGCTCTTCCTAAAGAAAGTTAAAAAAATCGTTTCCGAATCATGATGTGACTTTAACGCCTCTTAAAAGACAACCAAAATTAAAAAAGCTAAAGCATAAAAACATATCAGACGAGTATAAACATATTTTTTTTCTTAATTGTAATAAAGGCTTAAATGATATTTGGACCATTTGTGGGTATATATCCTAAATCAACCAGTGTTAGGGTGATATGAGAAAATATGGTCGTGACCCAAAATAGGGCTCGAACCGACGATCCCTAGGTTGCGGGGAAGCTGCAATCTTTGATCATAATACTTCTCTCTAATAAATCATCAAACATTTGAATAATAAATCGCGTCGACAGTTTTTGGACTCCATAATTCTCTAAATACATAAAGGAACATGTATATTCCTTAAACATGTGTATTTCGCATGAATGCGGCCAACTTCGCCAATTTCCGTTTATAACAATCATTTTTTAAAAGCGATGAGATGATACGATTATTATTTGTAAGCTTCGTCGTCTAGTATTAATTTGAAAACAAACTCAGTCAACCAATTCAGGGATATCACGATTATATTCTTGTGGTATTCTAGCAATTCTGGAACGGGGTAAGTTTTTCAGGTCATATCAACGCTTGTTTATTCTATTTACGACATGGGAAAATGACGGAAAAATGGCGAATAATGACGAAGTTTTACAAAATGGTTATATTACCTTAAGTTTGTTATATCACCAGAAGTATATCCTGCAATAAGGTTCCCACTGTCGTCATCATACTTGAAGGCGGCCTTTGCTGCGTCCCCTATGGTGATTGACTGTGTTTTGTCTGGATTTATGATACATACCTTAAATAAACATCAAATATTGTATTTTCAGTCAAAATTGAAAACAAGTATGTATACCAAAATATGTAAACAAAGATCAATTACCAAGGGATGAACTTTTTACTGACAAAACAACATAAGTAGCATTAAAGACAACAGCAATAGCACGAAACAAACAAAATGAAAGGAAAAATGAGAGAAAGAAACAAAACAACAAACATAAATTATGTATTATGTCTATACATGTCTAATTGTTATATATCGTATAGTTTGACATTTGGCCTACAGCAAAATCAAAGAGCGACAACTTTAACGCAGCATGCCTCCAGATTTATGCTAATTTTCATAAAATTTTTGTATGTAAGAGTAAAATATTGTGAAGTGAACATAGAAAGTAGCATGCATTTTCAACGGTACTTACAATTAACGTAAATCACCAAACAGATGTCAAAATATGTAAAAAAATCCTTACTGCGTTAGTCTGACTCAGTAGCAATAGGGTAATGGTGCCATTAATTGCACATAATTTGTAAATTATTACTTGAAATTGGCATTGTTTTACTTTTCTTAAAATCTAAGTACATTTTTCTCAAGTTTGACATTTTTGAAATATGTTGAACACATCTGGAGGCATTGAGCTTTGAAATGAAATGAACCGGATTCCGCATATACTTTAAAAATGTGCTCTTTAGTCTTTACTTGTACATTTATAGTCACAATACTGGCAATTTCTCTTAAGAAAACAGTTGAAATTGTTGAAATTGTTGTATTACACGTGCGCAATTGAACTTAAACGCGTTGTTGTTATGATACAGTAACAAACAAGGGGAGATAAACGTTGTGATAGAATGTGATACAGGTATAATAAGACTGATGTTCTACGGAGTGGTGATGGTAGTTTTCACTCCGGATCACAGCAGTAAGTCACAATGGATTTACAAGAGCTCAATTCAGTCATCGCATCGTTCCTGGGCAAGCTATCAGACAGTTTACAAATATTAGTTGCCTACACTTTCGCAATGAACTGATGACTTCTGTACTTGCCAGACCAGAGGTACAGTATGAATGACCGTAAGAAAAATTTCATGATACATCACAACGAAAGAGACTCGCACCGTCCGAGAATTGAACCCGGTTCGCCCGATAAACAGTCCAACGATCTACCCATTGAGCTAACGGGGCTGTGGCTGATGTACTATGGATATAATATATTTGAATTCTTACCGCAGCGTCCGTGCATTCTTCCTCTTGAAACGGTGTGCACGGGTTATAGGAGTAAAAATTGCCTTCACTACTTGACAATATATCTTTAAATCTGATAATATAGAAAGTAAAGTAAGTAAATTAATATAAAAAATTATAAATATAAAGTATATCTGGGAAGTATACAATAAAGATGAATTTGAAACATTGTTCATGCTTGAATCTGACAAAAATTTAAATAAGATTCACATGTTTATTTCTTATTGTAATGTTTGTTTGTTTTTTGTTTGTTTGTTTGACTGGCTTTTACGTCACACCGACACAGTATAGGTCATTTAGCGACGTTCCAGCTTTACTGGTGGAGGAAGACATCAGGAGCCCTTCCGTGAATTATTTCAGGCACGAACGGGCACCTGAGTAGAACCACCGACATTCCGTAAGCTTGCTGGATAGCTTCCTCACATGAAAGAATCCAAAGTCCTTGTCGGGATTTGAACCCACAGCGGTGAGGGGCAAGTGGTTTGAATTCAACGACCTTAACCACTCGGCCCCGCTCGTTGACTTATCATAATGCAATACAAAGTACACATTTTAGTTATACACATAACGTGCATATCTTAATCTAGCATTATTAATTTAAATGACACTTACAATAAAATATCAAATCTGCCAATATTAAAACATACAGTACTTGTTTGAAAAAGGCAAAAATGAAACATCAAGTACGAAGTGTGAGTGTTTGAATAAGGCAAATAACAAATAAATAAATAAATAAATAAATGAATAAATAAATAAATAAATGAATAAATGAATAAATAAGTTATCATACTAAAGACATAAAAATGGCATGCTAGATAATTCTGAATAAACGTGTTTTAAGTGAAGAATAGAGAGCAGCAAATTAAGAATAGAAAAAGAGATCATCACAGCATCATTTTCATTCATAGAAGAAATAGTCAGTTGGAAAATAATTGTTTTATACTATCTAGGTAAGAAAAAGAGTTATAAAAACTTATTCTTATCGGTGACCATTAGGGTCCGTAATAGGAGGGTGGTATAGTGGGTAAAATTGGGAGGGTGGGGTGTAGCGACCAATCGACGCGCCGAACACATGTCATCGCTTTGTGTCAGCGACACATGACTTTTAAACCTAGTATGACCGTTGATTCCATGGAAACAATACCTTGGTGTATTATCTGTATTCCCGAGACTTGTTAAATCAACAACACCGCCGTCATCATATGTACACTTGCATTGAGAATTCTGATTACAATCCTTCAGTCTTACCGAACCGAAATATAAAACGCATGTGACTATCCCTAAAATCATTTTTACCCGAATCATCGTCAAAATTGATTATCACATAAACAGAGAAATTTCCTTATCTAACAACATATGTTAATATCCAAAATACGTTATTTTTGAAACATAAAATTTATTTAAAACCTAAATTTCAGGATCGAAAATTGTAAAATTTAATTATACAGTATCTAATCAGTGTAGATATTTATACATGTATATCAGACTGCTGTATCATTATAGTAAAGTTTACATGTACGCTCGTATATTTTAATAGCTCAGCGTCAATTTTATCAAAATAAAGATTAGAAATAGGACCGCCATTTAAAACTTTGGTCGCACCGTGTTAGATATTACATCGTATAGATCTAAATTACCGAAATTCATTATCGCATTTTTCAATATAAAAACTGCGCCTGATTTATAATAACCGTTAATTTAATAATTTGATATCCATTGAGTGACATTTCATTCTAATATATCAAAGGAGCTAAAATGAGGTTAAAAAAGCCGTAACAAATGAGATACGAATATCAAACATATATATCCAGTGATGCGCTTAAGCCTCGGTCTCACTTACTTCCGGCAGAGCCCAGGACCATCCCGGTAAGTTACCGGGATGATCCGGGACGATCCGGGGTGAAATTATAGCGGTCACACTTACCCCGGCAGCACTACGGTAGTTCTAAACTAACCACCCAGGATGCGCTCCGGATCATCCAGGCAGCGCCCAGGTGCAGCTACGGTTCATGCCGGTGCTTCCCCGGTCGTTCCCGGATGACGCCGGAAGAGCCCCGGTTGACCAAGGCAGAGCCCCGGTCGATCCAGGCAGAGCCCCGGCAGAGCCCAGGACGGTCCAGGCAGAGCCCCGGTAGAACCCCGGTGGATTGAAAACGCCCGAAAATGATAACATTGATACATAATTTTTATTTAATATAATATCTATTGTTCCAGAATAGTAATGCATGATGATTTTCTGAAAAATCCTTATGCCATACTGGATAGAAGGGAAATGGGAGGGGTTTTAATACCAGCAAGTGCAATCATCGCAAATTGTCGTTATTCTTTTGAAATGATCCGGGCTTTGCCGGGGCTCTACCGGGATCAACCGTAGCCCTACCTTTATCATCCGGGACTCTGCTTGTAGTTGCCGGGGCTCTGCAGGCATTTTCCGGGGCTCTACCGTAGCTCTACCGGCTATATCATACCCCGGATCATATCCGGTTTGTGCCGGCAGAGCTACGGTGCTTCCCCGGTATAACCCCGGTCGTTCCCGGCAGAGCTAAGGATGAAGCCGGCAAAGCTATACCTTCCCGGATCATCCCGGACCACCCCGGTGATATTAAATATTTTATTCCATCCGGGGTCGAATGCCGGATGTTCCCGAATCATCCTGGATCATCCAGGACGTTGCCGGCAGAGTTACGGATGTACTCCGGTTGTTCCCGGTCGAACCCCGGTCGTTCCCGGATCACCCCGGACGTCTACCGGGGCTCTGCCGGGGCTCTGCCGCGATTAGTGAGACTGTAGCTTAACAATGGAAAATCTGCAAACGATAATGAAGACATCTTTTTAAAATTAAATTGATAATAGATTTTTGCGCCATTCTCAGGCCGATTTGAGTAAAAACGTTACAACCGTTTTCATTGTGGGTCATTTTAATCAATTAAATGATTAATCTGAAGAAAAACACGGAGTAGGGGAATGACCATTTTTACACGATTTTTTTACAAGATTTACACGAAATAGTAAAGTCTCGAAAACATTTTGCCGGTCCTTTAATGTCAAAAACATCTCCATTATCAAGTTCCTTTAAATAAAATTATGTCGCGCATAAAATACGATTCTAGGACATTTGGTCCCGGACGTTTGCCCCCCCTCCCCTTTTTGCGATGGCGGACATTTGCCCCATCGTATGTTTTGAAAGGGCGGACATGTGTCCCCTTAAATTTTTGATATGAGATATGAGGAAGCGAACGGCCGCCTCTAAGAAATAGGACGGCAATTGTCCGGGGGGCAAATGTCCAGATATACAATGTTTTTAATGTGTCAAGTGAGTAACATGTGATACAGATACCTCTTCTGTCACAAGATAGTAACTGCGTTCAGTGTATCACATGAATGTGTCTAAATACTTTCATATTTTACATAGTTAAATATATGTAGTGTCCCATTTTAAATATTTTGATAAACGAGAATCTTCTTATAAAAATGTCGCGCATTACATATTTTAACGTGTCCAACGTGTAATTTACATTTATGTCTGAAGTAACTACGACAGGTTATTTTCCTCCTCAAATTTTATTTTAGAATTAAAGAGATAGCTTAAGTGGCATTATACGCACTTTTAATGTCATATATATCTTATTTTGTTTAAATTTATTTTTGTTTAAACCATAGAACTTTATTCAGTGATGTAAGTCTCTGTTTGAATAATATTTAACGATAATACGTCTTGTTTTTTTTCTTGCTTTCTTTTTGTGATTAAACGATTTTTTTTTTATCTTTTAAACGAAATCAAACGCATGTTACAACAAAAAAATCAGGGGAACCAGTACATTTTCTATTGTACTTTATTTTACAATACATTTACCAATTGTTATTGATTTTGAGGGGATTGGAATTTATCTCGAGAGGTCGGATCGGTAGATTTAGAACTCAAAACTTGACACCCTTACCCTTTCCTCCTGTCCCATCCTCTTCCGTAAAAAAGTTCATCCGAAATTTTTTTTTAAGCAGAAACGGGAACGGAAAGTCAAAATAAATGATCACTTTTTTAAATTTTGTTAATAATTTAAATAATCAAATATATGATTATTCGAAAATGATTTTGTCCTTAAGTTGAATATGAAATATTTTATCTTATAACCTTCTGATAATTATTATACAGCATCCTGTATCACCTTGTTGATTGACTCGCTCAGATAAATGGACTTAAGGATTTTGAAATAATTTTCATCTTATTTAATCTTGACTCATATTTCATGTATATTTCAATTTTTTGAAATCAAATTTGAAGTTTGGATACTTTCATTAGTTTTACTGTTTTATTTAATATCGGCAAACGAATATCTATAATTTAGGCAGGGTTGTTCGTTTTAAGAAATAAAATGGGTCTGAGATTGAAATCCTTGTTTTTATTTCTGGTAACGTATGTAACGTATATAACGTGTAAGGACTGTACTGTAAATGACGAATGCTCGTGTACAATGGATGATGGCAGTGGTAAAGTGGACCTAACAAGTCTGGGAAAATCCGACAATACGCCAATGTAAGTATCATATGTTTAAACATATTGTATACCGCTGATGACGGTGCTGGGGGGGGGGAGCTAAAAATGTTGCACTTTCAGTGGTTTTTTACAAATAATTAATTATAGTCCATGCTTTAAAACTTTTTGCTTGTGTCCACTTTCATTTGTTTTTATAAAGTTATATCAAAAGGTTAATTTATGTCCCTGCTGCATGTTTTAATTTAATTTGGTCGGTGACAAAGTGGTCATATATTGGTGGCCTATGTAAAACTATTTAAGAAAAATGATCTTAATTATATCTAATTACAAAACCGACTTTGTCTTGAATATCAAGAAAAATGAAAGTATCCGGATTGATTTTCCGTTTTCAACACCGGATGTTGCTTGAGTCTTGACGTTATGATTGTGCACTAAAGTTTGCTATAAAAATAGAAATACTCACAGTCTTCAGGCAAACTCTTCACAGTCATTTGATTGGCTACGCTCTGTGTAGCGAAGCAAAGGGAGACCACTGTTTCGAAGTTTGGTCTTCTGGAGTGACATTCGGAACACTTGGCGGATAATAAGTAATCATCAAGGAAATAATACGGATTGAAAGTGCATATAGATCTAATACTTAACTTTTTATGTTGACAAAGACAGAGCTTGTTAAGTAAAGGATGAATCAATTTCACATCCGTTTTAAAATATAATTGTATATCGGTAATAATATGATTAAGAATATGCCTGTAAAACAGAATCAACTCGTACAATACCCATTGTCATACATTTATAATAATATATGAATTACATAAATGAGCATGTCATTTGTACTTTTCGGCTATTAGCATAATGAGCAAATAAGCAATGTACGTTATATCTTAAACGACTTATACACAATATAATGAAATTAAATAACGCAGCAAATATACAGTAGTAAATATCGCAGCGTAGGTCTGTCTGAAACACCGTATCAGTTCTGCTTAAATTCAAGGTCCTTACACGTAGTTTAATAGAAAGGACCAAAAAGTTGCGACTGCTGGAGTTAACCGCCCTTATTTGTTTTCGGTGGGGACTCTAAATTAAACTAAAATATATATATAAAAAATAAAGGTTATTTATGTCATTGTCATATATAATAGGCTGAGAGAAAGTTGTTTATGATGTGTTATAATTATATTATTCAGGTTTAAAGACGTATTGTATAGTGACGAGGGATATTATTACTCGTACAATCCGTGCGGAGGTTTCGATGAAGGAGCTTGCTCTAACGCTGCGGTACGTTTGATGTTGTTTTTTTCTCGATTGAGCATCATATAAACTTATCTATATTGATAATTTATACATAATTGCATAAACAAAGCAATATAAGGCTAATATACATTGTTTAGTTCAATTCTTAATTCAACAGTACTCAGTTGTCAAATCTAAATTGGACGAGTCTTATATAGGTTTTACAGCTGTGCTCAATATTATAAAACTATACAGACTATTATTCTCAGTTGTCAAGTCTAAATTGAACGAGATGCTAGCTGAATCTTATATAGGTTTTACAGCTCTGCTCAATATTATATAACTTTACAAACTATTCTTTTAGATTATCAAAGAATTCCGTTAATAATGATAAGGATTTAAATATGTTGTTTTTGGACTCGGACAATGAAAACATAATTGATAAAATTAGATTGAAAATGATACAAATTTGAGATCACATGGTCTAAACAACACCGAAAGGGTAGAATTCAGTATTTTACTCAACTCACATTATTTGATACTCGAAAACAGTTAAAATGGGACTCTTGAATAATAAAGAAAATGTTGCAAGCATGTTTTTTTATGGAAAATTTGCAACTTTTAAAATGTTCTTTATGTTGCCCTTACATAGCTTATGCAAAAACAAGGAGAAAAGAGGAGAATACATTTAATTTTTGTTGCAATTAAAGGATAATATATTGAATTCAAAAGGATCTATATTCATTGATTTTTTACATGATGAAACAATATTATTGTTATTCTTGTATTTTCCATTGAGATATTTTCCAGGTTTGTGTTTTAAAACAAGACAAGTCTCATCAACAACAGATTGGCGACGCCTCTAGAGCAGCTTTTAAATGGGATGATGATAGTGGCAATGTCATTGCAGCTTATACGTCAGGCACTGGTATTTTAAGGTGAGACAAACGTTGAACGCACGTGCGTATATGGTAAAAATGTATGACCGTAAGTAATTTAATTACATACGATAGCACGTGTACAACACAAGGTTTATATATTTGGACACGTTGGTCACCCGTGCTGACAGAGAAAGCAAAGGTGCAAAGCTGCAATTACAGTATCAATTATTATAATTCGTATATGTTTGCTTAGAAGTTCCTGTTATATAAAATATCTCAAATATTAATTAATTTGCCTGTGGAAGGGAGGAACAATAGTTTCAGATATTAATGGTATCGGCTTTATTGTTGCACTTTTTTTTGCATCGAACAGTTGTTCGAACCTTAGTTGCACTTATGATCATATCGAGTTTGCAATGTTTTTATTGCATGTTCTTTCTTTTTTTCCTGAGTAGGTATTTCATAGTGCTTTGTTTATATGCACTCGTTGTTTATTTTTATATTTCACTGTTCTATTTTTATCTTACAAACATCAGATATAGATTTTTGCCTGTAACACTTGCAGGTTGTCAACAGTAAATCTTGTATGCGATCAAACTGCGTGTACGCCAACATTCCAGCCAGAAGGTGAGCAAGGAGCCGGGCAATTTGTAAGTAATCACCGTTTTTTTGTTTATAAATTGCGATAAAACAACGTTTTTTAAAACTGTTTTTGAATTTATTTGTAGGATTTTCATTTGATATTCATGACTTAATTATTGCGATGTATTTTTGTTATTTGTAATGAAGTAAAACTGCATTTCAGGTTTCATTGTGTCAAATATGATAACATAACTTGATAGATGTTTTAATTTTGTCTTATGAAATATGATAATACTTTATGCTTTTTTATTATATTTTCTTAGAATAACAAGTTTAAAAATAGATCATAGTATGACTATAGATTGTAGTTAAAGAGACGATTATCTTAAGTATTTTGATATGTTAAAAATTGCAGCCTCGTTTAAAGCGGCCTCAAGTTTTTAAGTTTTGTAGGAAAATAATTCTGTGTTGTTTCATACTAAATATTCCAGTATTTTCTTTCCCTCCAGTAAACTGTAAAAACGCGTCAGTGACATTCGTTTCTAAAAATAAAAGATCGAAAAACGAATGCTATGCTTTTTAATTTAATTTGGAGAGCTGACCGGAAGATTTGAAGTATCGAGGGGTTTCCTTATTGTTTATGTTTTTTTACGTCGAAAATCTCATTTTCTACCTTATTTTTTTATTTGAAAATTATATGAACAGATTTATATAAGAATAACATATTTAACTTTTAAAAAGCTGGAGGCCGCTTTGACAATATGACAGTTTGTGGAAGAGAGCAACAAAATTGCATTATGATATGAGCCGCGTCATGACAAACCAACGTAATGCGTTTGCGACCAGCATGGAGCCAGAACAGCCTGCGCATCCGCGCAGTCTGATCAGGATAATGCTGTTCGCTATCAGTTTCTCTACTTGTTATAGGATTTGTAAGCGAACAGCATGGATCCTGATAAGACTGCGCGGACGCGCAGGCTGGTCTGGATCCATGCTTGTCGCAAACCCATTATGTTGGTTTTGTCGTGACGCGGCTCATATATATCTCCGCCTATTTTTTTAATTAAAGGAGCAATGAAAAGAAATCATTCTCAAATATGACGATTTTGATAAAAAAAAGGTTGGATTTCAAATTATTTTCTTTTTCAAGAAGACTTTTTTTAATTTAGTTTCTTTGGAATATTAAAATTAAAGCATACATTTTATGGATTATAAAACACGTTTGTTAAAACGTCGAAATTCTATGAAAGTAGGTAGAGTAGAAAATGAACAAATTATTTTTATTATCTGAAACTTATTTTCTCGTGTAACAACAGGAAATGACGTTGACGACGATATGCGCATGTCCGGGCAAGTGTGGTCCAAGCGGACCCATAAATTCTACCTGCAATAGCGTTTCGGGTGGACTCAGCTCTAGAAGTAACATCAACATTATCATCATGTTCCTTGTCCTCATGCTTACCACCACAACCAACAATATTATGACACTCACGTGTATGTAATATAAGAACAATTGTGATTTTTTTGTAATATTAGAACAGTTATGTTTGTGATATTAGAACAATGGCAAAGAACCATCTTGAAGAAGACATTAATGCAATTCTTTTTTTAAATGCATTTTCTTGTTTTTGTACCTGTTTTAGATATAAACTATTTTACACAGGGATAAGGTTATGACCATATAATCAATTCAAAAGCACCGACTTGATATTAAACTTTTAAGAAAAGAAATATACAAAACAACATAATATACAAGTTCTAGTTATATATTTTCATTAAACAGTTTTCTGTAGTAGGTCCTTCATGAACCTTCAAGACTTCTTTGACAAAAACATTTCATCACATGGGGAGTGAAATCGCGACGGCACCCAACTCGAATGGACTTCTTTACGATAGTTATATTTCAACAATGAATGAATTCTGAATAAACATGCGAGGTGCACAAGTAACAGTGAATTGCTTTTACAATATAAGTTCAATAAACTCTTATTTTTTGTTCTACTCCTTATTATCTTTGATAATAATAAACAGGGAAACCGATGTTTCCTTTTTCATTTACTCCTTATTGTCTTTTATATTTGTTTTAGATATGGCAACGGATGTTTGAATAATTTGCACTGCACATATCTTTTCACATCAGTGGTTATAATTATAACTATCTAGATATACAGCTATTTTGTTGTTGTTTTTCTTTGATTCGTGCTTTTTTTAGTAAACGATAATGATGTCACGGGGAAAAACCTGTTCTGTTACTACATTTATATTACTCAGAATGTCTCTTAGGCTACACTTGTTTAACGTTAAATCTGAAATACGGTATATACTTTCCCAACGATGTTTGGAATCCATTACTTAATGTCTCGCAAATACATGTAAACATTTGATTGAAAGCATTCAGCACAGAGAATTAAAGTATATCGCAAACCAGATGCAGCGAACATATGTAGAACAGACTTATTGCTGACAATGTGTAAAGTACACCACGATACATTGATTAAACGTTAATATTCCTTGTTTTTATCCAGCCTGTTTTCGTCACATAAATAAAATAAAACAAGTAAGCCAAAACAAATACATGTAAATGTGCAATAACTTTGAAAGACAACCAAGCACTGAGGTTATAATGTAATGGTTTACATTGATCAGAAAACGTTCTGTGCTAATTTCAGACCAATAAGTTACTTGAAATCTGAGTTTGAGCTCAGAAACTGCTTTTGTAACACAAAACCCAACACTCGACATTCAGAGTCCAGCTAAAAATCAAGATTCAAATCAATTATTGATATCCGCTTATTAACAATGTATTTTAGAATCAACAGTGAGCTAGACATTCAAATATTTCCCATCTCGAGTTTCACAAGACAACTATCCTCACTTAAATGATAAACTTAACTAAAATGAAAGCGTTAAATTAATAATTTCTGGCAGTACCATTATCAACGAGGCAGTCTTTTAAAGCGGCCTTTAGCTTTTCTAAGGGTATAATATTGTTAGATAAATCGTTTCATATCATTGTAAAATCAAAAAAATGAAGGTTGGAAATGAAATTTGTCGTCAATAAAATACTATCGGGACGCTGTTTTAAAGAAGGATTACATTAACATGTATAAAATACTGAAATACTTAGTTTGATACAACACAGGATTGTTTTTTTTTTCGTAAAAAAGAAGAAAGCTGAAGACCGCTTTAAGAGAAAGAGGTATAGCATTTAGAAGAGCAAGCAGCTGCTAGTCAAATAAGTATCGATGCAGCATTAATATCCTACATCTTATAGATTACACAATTCACATGAGATATCGTTAACATTATGATATTTAACTACAGTTCTCGCATTGGGTTCAGTACTGTACATAGTCGTGCAAAATATGAGTGGGGTTGGCAGAACTCAGGTTCTAGTGAAAAGATGTTTCACTTAATTTTACAGAACAATCTTCACAGGTCATGAATAATATAAGTCTATATTTACAAATCCAAGTTGTCAATACATATTGATAGTTTGAGTATTACAGAAAGGTGAACCATTCTATTTAGTTTAAAATGTAAATCAAATGTATTTTGAATAGGAACTTGTTTTTTTATAAATAAAAACAATCAAAGGAGACACAAAAATAAATGAAGATAATAAACAATTCTTTTTGTTTAAGGGTAAGGCAAAACGTTTCTAGTTCGTATCAAATTTTTATTTGTCTTTAAGTAACTAAGCATATAAACCAATAATAATAATAATAATAATAATAATAATAATAATAATAATAATATAATAATAATAATAATAATAGATACTGTACTTTCTGGTATGTAAATACTTAGTTTTCGTTGCTCGTTTTGATTTTATTTGCTTAGTATGCTTTTGTGCAGCAGGTTCATTACGACCTATAGATTTTACTATTTATGATATGCTATAAATAACTGGGAAGAACATGCTGAAATAATAAATAAAAGAGAAATTTTATTTGATTCAGGTTTACAACACACAATGATACAAGTTTAGAATTAGGAAAAACAAATGAAATATGGTTTTTCAAATGCAGCTTATCAAACAGGAGGTACAAGCTGCCAAAAACCATATTAAATTACAATTTGACAAGAATTAGGAACAATGAAAATGAAATTATTATATTAAACCTTAATATTATATTTTAAGGTACAAAACAGCAAGTACTACATACAAAAGTATCAATTATAATTATCACAAGTTGTAACTTATTGGCTTATACATGTATAATAAATTAAAAATCAAAGATTTTTAGACAGGTGTTCTATATGAAATATTATACATGTAGAAACATACAAAAAACACAAACCTTGGATTGCCCAAGAAAGACCGAAATCTTATTTCCAATGGGTTCCATTGATTATACCTACTTCATTGCACACACCAATATAAAACAAAGTGTACGTAAGAACAATGCATACCAAATGATTTTAGGATTTGGCAGTTATTACAATTTCAAAATTTCATATAGTTTGAATGTGTTAGTGTGATTCCTAGAAATCGTAAATACAATAATAGCAAAAAGTATTGTTATCATGTGTTAAAATATGATAAACAAGATAAAAAAGGAAAGGTGGCGTTCAATAAACGCAACCCCCATCATAACTAAATAATGCATAGAAAAACATTTTCAAGAAATACCATTTGTCTGCAATGACCACACTGAAAAAACGATGACCAAATATCCCGTAGATATATGTGTAGCCTAATTTTGAAATCAGTATATGCAGTTAAAATACATGATGGGCAAGTCGTCCTGCAACAACATAATTAAGAGTTGCATCGACAACATTTGATATATTCTGAACAAAAATGCCGGATGAACAAAGGGCAGTTGGTCCATAACAAAATCGTTAGCATGAGTCCACAGTATTTTGAAAAATCCTGTGACTCAACGAAAGATGTATTGAAAGAAATAAAGCACCACTTTCGTAGCCTACAATTGAACTCAACAACAAATTCGCCTTAGCAAGACATTGTACCCACTCATAAAGCACTCACTTATAAGACAAAGATTGTGTCCGAGGTTTTGGCGTCTGGGAAAATAACCGTCACCCAAAATCTTCCATTTCTCTTTTATTCTTCCCCATAAACTAAAATATAGGTGTCTAAAACGAACAGATACAATTCGAGAAATGTCACTGGGTCTGCAGTTTATTCGTATCTCATGAGTGACCACATTGCAGTTAAAAATGGTAGTGATAGAATCAAATGGTAGATGAGGCTGATGGCGGCAATTTTGAAGGACATGACAAGTATAGAACTTAAGGCATTCTTAAATGAACCAGCAAAAGAATTTATTCAACCATATTTTTTCTTCTTAGCCTATGAAAGCATTGTTTGACGATGTTTGTACTTGAGACAAAAATATGAATGATAAAAACTTGATAAGGATATGAAAATAAAGAGCAATATTCACGAAACGAAAATGTGTTTATACGGCGGTTATCATGGAACCTTCAATGTGACACTTCCGTGCCATTCCATGAAAAGCGGCGTATGGTCCCCAAGTAATAAAAAGCGTGTGCCCTAAACGAGAAAACAATGGGCAGAACTTAATAAAATGGAATTTTGAAAGGGGATCAGAGATTATGAAGCCTGCGTATCACAGATAAGACGTCAAAAGACAAATTTAAAAAGTAGGCAACATATCCTACGGGTGATTCAACATTATTCAAGTAGGAATATTGGAACCACCCAACTAGAAAATGCCGAAAAATTGAAACTAAAAATACCACAAGCACAACAATAATGACGTGCTGAACGATCTTCAAGGATCGAAAATATAACATCATTGATTAAATGTACGGGGAGACTTTTTACAGCCGCCACACGGCACAAATAACACGGATGTGATCATAAAATAGATAAATACAGAATCCCTAAAGAAAGCCCAACACGGCAAAATTGAAAATGTTGCAGGCTCGGTTTGATTGAGCCTGTTCATGGACGGTACTGGAAAGTGCAAGTTACCGTCCACGCCCCCTAGCACCGGCTTAAGCAGAATTCAACATTTAAACATGATACAGTAAAATTTTGAATTTAGAAACATCTGCAGATGTGTTCATACGGCGGTTATCATGGAACCTTCAATGTGACACTTCCGTGCCATTCCATGAAAAGCGGCGTATGGTCCCCAAGTAATAAAAAGCGTGTGCCCTAAACGAGAAAACAATGGGCAGAACTTAATAAAATGGAATTTTGAAAGGGGATCAGAGATTATGAGGCCTGCGTATCACAGATAAGACGTCAAAAGACAAATTTAAAAAGTAGGCAACATATCCTACGGGTGAATCAACATTATTCAAGTAGGAATATTGGAACCACCCAACTAGAAAATGCCGAAAAATTGAAACTAAAAATACCACAAGGACAACAATAATGACGTGCTGAACGAAGTCCTCACAATGTCCAAAAGAAACGACACTCAAAAAGACATCAAAAAGGGACAAGAGCAAACAAAGGTATGGAAGCAGGGATCAAATTATAAGTCGTATATTCACAATTGCTTATTTCAGGCACGAGCAGTAAAAATAAAGTATTATAATTTTTACTCACAGAAAAAATTATTTGAAATAAAAATTTAAAAAAAACAATGTCACCGCAAACTTTATAATTTATTATAAATTAATGAATTGAATACAGTTCAATCGATGAGATATATATGATATATTTTACCATGTTACATTGCGATAATTATTATATTGTACCCTGTATCAAGTTGCTGATTGTCTCTATATATATAGATAACTATATCTTTGTCTATATATATTTTATATCTATTTTATATCGAAGTTTTTTTCTTTGTTTTTTTATCATGTGATACACATTCATGTACTAATATTTGTTACTTGAATCATAACTCATATTTTATGTATATATCTAAATTATATATTCAAAAACCTATTTCCTACACTCGCTATAGAATGTTTTGAGACTAAATTTCAAAGTTTATAAAAGAACGGATTATATGTTAATGTGAAGTATATAACAATTATTTATTAAAAATTAAAAACAAAACTGAAAAAAAAAGAATACCAGGATATCACAATGGGTTTGAGAGTATCATTTTTTGCTGTTTTGTCTAGTAACGTATGTAACGTATATTACGTGTAAGGACTGTACATTAGATGACGAATGCTTGTGTTCAATGGATGATGGCAGTGGTAAAGTGGACCT